GGTATGATTAATGGCATTTCCCTATGTCAGCCCTGGGTTCTGGGGCAGGAATGCCTTTACCATCCCCGGCGCTACTCTTTTGGGGGGGACCAGAGCGTCACTTAAGTTTGGTTTGTCCGACAGAGTAAGGTATTTCCTGCTCTCAGAATAAGAGCCATTGTAGATCTAAGTCATTCAACACCCTTACCTAGGTGTACTTGTAATTTAGATGTGTTCTTTACTCAAGGAATTGTAGACATCACCAAGAAATGGAGTAGGTGGAGGGGAAAATCTTGGAAGGGCTAGCCAGGGCCCCAACAGCCCACGTCTCCAGAAGCCTGCCATTTGAAGGGGTGCTGGGATCCACTGGGAAGGCCTTTGTCCTCTGGATCCAACCCTTAGAGTCACCGAAGGACCAACCTAATGATCCTCAAACCGTGCAGTGACCAGTCCCTTCCCACCTTGAACTCGGGCAGGCTTCTGCATTTCATCGGAGCAATATGCCCTGCAAAACACCACCTCCCTGAACCCCTACACGGACCCGAGCTCTAAATCGTCAGAGAGTCACACTGTGTGACTTAAACAGAGAGACCCTCCACATGGCTACCCCAAGTCACATGACCTGCCCAGCTAACCAAGGTTCTTCCTTGGCAGGGAAGCTACATGGACACTTTTTTCCTACTTTTCACTCTCTGGACCATTAAATGCCTCTGCAATCAACATACATTACTGGTGCCATTAAGAAGAAAGTAAAACTTTAGAAAGACCAGGAGTTAGGACGCATAGCCACAGAGGACCATGGAGGTGGCTTCTGCTGTTGGTAACACAGCCCCAGTTAGGTGTGTGTCCTGTGGACGTGCTAATGAGCAAAGGGCCACTTCAGGGCAGCCTTGAGCCATGGGCAGCTCCAGACTCCGCCGCAGGGGCACCTGCTGGGGGAGGTGAGAAAGCAGCTAAAGAGAGGAAGGGTCAGCAAGACCTGGATGGTCGAATTCCTTCCACGGCCATAAAACTTCAAAGATCTAAGTGACAGGAAGCGTTGGGGTTTTTCCATAAGAATCCAGCCGATTTTAAGTGTTATGCTTTGCAGTCTTCTATACAGTCTACTGTTTACCTGGTTGATGATTAGTGGTTCAGCTAGTAATTATTAAACAGGAAGGAATCAGGAATAAGTTGTTGTAAATTTAAACCACAAGCTTCACGTTCTGAATGCTAAACTTGAAGGTTAAACATGGGGCAGGTAGGAACAGTAGAGTGGTTTGTTTGTTTTGCTCTTTTAAAGAGTAACAAAGTTGGAAACCCTGGCTCTTGTCCAGGCTCTGTCCCTAAAGTAAAGATTCTCAAACTTTTCTGCCCAAGTCCCTTTGATATTAGAGAGAGGTGAGTGAATGGACCCCAGCAGTCTGGGGGCTCTGCTTGAAGCGCTCCGATCAAGGACCGGGCCTCTTTTGAGGCCTTAGGTTTTATTTTGTTTTTTATTAAAAAATTTTATTTAGTTAGTTAAAAATTTTTAATGTTTTTTTTTTTAATTTTATATTTGAGAGAGACAGACAGACAGAGTACAAGCAGGGAAGGGGCAGAGAGACGGAGACAGAATCTGAAGCAGGCTCCAGTCTCCAAGCTGTCAGTACAGAGTTCGATGTGGGGCTTGAACTCATGAGCAGTGAGATCATGACCTGAGCTGAAGTCGGACACCTAACCAACTGAGCCACCCAGGGAGCCTTCAAAAAAGTGTTTTTAAATTTTTTTTAAATTTTTGAGAGAGACAGAGTATGCATGGGGGAAGGGCAGAGAGAGACAGAGACACTGAATCGGAAGTAGGCTCCAGGCTCTGAGCTGTCAGCACAACTCACAATCCAGACTGTGAGATCATGACCTGAGCCGAAACCAGACGCTTAACCGACTGAGCCACCCACGTGCCCCAGGCCTTAGGGTTTAGCTTTAAAACTATGCAAACTTGGCATTTTATTACATAGCATATTTTGTGTGTGTTAATATAAAAATAATTTTGTTTTAGAACATTTATCTAATTTTGAGAGACAGAGAGAGACAGAGCATGAGCAGGGGAGGAGCAGAGAGAGGGAAACACAGAATCTGAAACATGCTCCAGGCTCCGAGTTGTCAGCACAGAGCCTGATGCAGGGCTCAAACTCACAAACCGCAAGATCATCACCTGAGCCGAAGTCGGACGCCTAACCTACTGAGCCACCCAGGCGCCCCTCAGAGAGACTTCTTACGTATCCTGTGACACCTCTACCATGTGGCCACTGTAGTGTGGCCCTGGGGCACCGGCACCCTGGGTGAGCAGTGCTTCTGTGTGTGACCCCCACCCCCAAGTTCCTTCTCTGATTTTTTGATTTGTCAAACTTCTCTGCCACTGTCCAAAGTTACGTCTCTGATGACGACCATTTAGGGAGCACTTCCTATGTGCCCGGCTCCATGCCAAATGCGTTATACGCATGGTTGTTTAAATAGTCACAGCCACATGAAACTCAGAGAGGTGAAGCAGCTGGCCTAAGGTCACACAGGCGTCAAGAGGCCACTTGAGTATTCCGACAGTAGTCTGTCTGACTCCACGCTGACTCCTGCTGCCTCAGCGAGGCCAGAGCCCCTGGCTAAGTGAGTAGCAGCCTCCGCGGGAAGGAGATCATTGTGGTACAGATGTAGAAAGAGCATGGAATATAAGAAGCGTCAGGTTTAGGTGTAGCTCTGTCCCTGGCTAGCTAGAGGTTCTCGAGGGAGCTCCTTGGCCCCTGGGTTCTCATCTATTAAAGAGGGTGAAAAGGCGTGTGAAAGGGACTGGACTAAAGATGAGCCTAAGAGCCAACATCTTCCATCCCTCTCCTGCTCTGCTTCCTGGCTGTATCACCCCAGGCGGCTCGCCAAATCTCTAAGCCGCTGTTTCCTCCCTCCTAGAATGTGGAAAAGAGCTGTCACCTCACAGGGCTGCTATCGAGATTCAAAATAATACGTATAAAATACCTGGAACAGAGTTCGGCATGTAGTAGCTACTCAAGAAATGCTTCCCGCTGGTAGTAACCCTTGTAATGGTACTAGTAGCAGTAGTACCCATACTGTGGTTATCAAAATGAGGGCAACGTGTGAGCGCAAAACTATAAAGTAAGGCCAGAGCTTAAAAATACCAAACTGGGCAAGGGTCTGCCCTGAGGCATCCCCAAAACAGTGCAGCCGGTGGAAGGCCTGGAGCTCCCTTTCACTGAGAAGCCTCTACCAGGAGTCAAAACCAGAGAAGGAGCCACAGCTCGTGTTCTTTTTCATTTTTCACGGTCTTTTTTCTATCTCTTCTCCGTGATCCCCAAATGAACACTCCTCCAACCCATTCCTGCCTGCACTGGTGCCCAGCACCCAGAACACTTCATGGGTGGTAAGTCCTTCCTGGAGGAAAGATACCAGGCATCTCCCAGAAACGGATGGGCAGGTGGCCCGGAAAGGACGCTTGGGGCAGGCAGAGAGGGGGGCAGCCAGTTTCGCGGACAGGACCAGTCACTCCTCTAAGGGAGACTTTCGTGGTCTCTCCTGGCTTTAATGTTAGCTAAGTGCGACTCTGTGGTTCTGTCGGTGAGCCCTAATTCCTCAGTTCAGGCAGCATCCTGGAAGGCCACCCACCGGCGTCTTGGTGAATTTGTGCGGCCCCTGCCTTGGCAACCACACGCAGGCGCTCCCCCAAGTCTCAGCAAGAGGAACTTTCTCTGAAGGGAAGCCGGGTCTTGACCAAAGACCGCCTCTCCGTTTCCCTGCTGGGCCCTTGCAGCCCAGCCTGGAGGGAGCTCCCCCAAGCCAGTGAGGCTTCCCCGAGTGGCCAAGATGCCATGGGGGGGATAGGCTCTCTCCTCCCCGGCATCCCAGGCACCTCTCCCAGTTTGGAAAGCAGATTATTTATGGTTTATTTTTGACACCAGATCATCGCTGCCCAAGTTTCATCAATTTGTCACTGTTTTTATTGTCAGCAATTGCCCATAACTGGAGCACATTTAAAATGTCATTGATCTTGGTATTACAGTGTCATAATCTGACAGTAATAGGTGTAGCCAGCACAGGAAGCCCAGGCCCTGAGATTGATGGCATTCAGCACACCAATTATATTCTGTCCATCTAAGTGATAAAAGAGTACGTAGGAGGCATTCAATAGATAAATTAGATATCGCTCCCAATTATGTCCCTTTATTTTATGGAGTCATATGTTCCCCTTAGAACTTTTTTTCTTCATTTGGCTTGTATAGGGAGCATTACTTGACCCCCAAAGATGAGGAAGTCTCCCCTGCCTGACCCGCCTTAGGTTCTCCCTGGTCCCTCTCTACCTTCTAGAAGTTTCTCACCAAGGCTCTTCCTGATCTCACCTAGGAAGTGCCTGGCAGGCGGTGAGTGGGCTCAGGAAGGAGGTGGAGGTGCCCCCGTGTCTGGGGAGGGTTGGATCAGACCTTTGGGGAGGACTAGGAGGTCAGACGGTGCATTTTGTTAATGTGACCTTGGCCGCTAAGTCAGATGGGGTGGGAGCCGTTACACAGGTTACCATCCTCCAGGCCCAAGCCGGCAGAGCCTTCCAATCAGGACAACCAGAGAATTGCTAGGACCGAGGAGGAAGAGGATGGTCAGAGAGCTTTCTGTCCGGAAATGAATTCATCCAGCTCCAACTCCACTCCAGCCGGAGTTGAGCCAATTCACACCTTTCCTCAAAAGAGCGCCCGGAGCCACCTGGAGCCCCATTCCAGTTCACATGCCTTCCTCAGCTTGACTCCCAGCACTGCCACCGTGTCAGGAGACTGAGGCAGCTCTCCTGGGGAGGCTGCGGGCTCCCTGCTGGAGAGCAAGCCCCCCAAGCTACTCTTGATTTCCACGACGAAGCACCTGGCCAGAAATGAGAGACAGGGAATAGGGGTGCCCAGCTTTATAAAGCCCTTAAGCTCCGAGGGCAGCCTCGACCTGATCCAGACCCTGTTCCCCCAACTCCATGTCCCCCTGGAGCCAGAAGGAAACACACAAGAGGCCGAGACGTCAGGTGGTAAACAGCGTTCCAGGTCCATTTATTGAGCTTTGCAAGAGGAGGCATCCACGGGCTGGGCCGCTCCCCACAGCCTGTTGCCATCTCGGCTGTTATAAATAATCCTGGCACTAAGTGCCCTGTTACACCGAGTGGAAGTTGTTCTTACAGTGTGAAACCTGAGCCTGTGGGTCAGGGGAGGAGGGGATGATGGGGGACAGGAGAGAGAGATGGGGAGCCGTCGCCCCGAGGCTCCGCGAGTACACCCCCGAGCTGGTGATGGATGAATTTCTGGCGCAGCGGATGGCATTTCAAGTGAAATGTTTATAGGAAGCGAGTGTGATTTAAACAACGTCTTGGCCGATAAACACCAGGCAGCTGGGGGGAGAGGGCAAGGCGAGGGCTAGAAGAATCAAAGGCCCAGAGGCCCCCAGTGTTAAGTAGCTGTCTGAAGCTCTGCTCAAACACACACACCAGCTTTGGTCTTAACATGTTTTTAAGAGCTGGTTATGATTTCCTTGAGGGCGGCTCAGATTAAGACTAGAGTAGAGCCCCCAGCTGAGCGCCTTCAATAACTGTCCATCACATCCTCTTTAAAGACAGCAGCCTCCTCCCCTCGGCTCAGGGAGCCTGGGACCGGGGCGGGCTGCCAGGCTGCCCAGCCTGTCAGCCCTGGGCCATCTGCCCTTGAATGGGTGCTGCCCCTGGGTGGGGGGGGCTGTGCCGGGGCAGATCCTGGGGGCAGGAATCAAGCCCCGCTCTCAGAGAGCTCTCAGTCGTCCAGGAAAGAGAAAACACACAACCTAGAAAAAAAGAGACAAAGTGAATAGAGCGAAAGGACGGAAGCCGAGGCAGAGACAATGCTCACCAAATCCAGAACCTTTGTTGCCGTGTCCACTGCTGCCACCTGGTCCGAGCCACTTGCCTCTCGCGTGGACTGGTGCCGGAACCTTTCCACAAGCCCCCTGTATCTTCTCCTGCCCTGTGCAAACCATTCCCAGTACAAAAGGCAGAAGGCCATAACTTGTCCCAGCATGTCTTTCCTCCCGGCTTCCTTAAGACTGAATGAAGATCAAAGTCCTTAAGACAGCGTTTAAGCTCCTGCATCATCATCTCATCCCTCAGTGCCGCTGTCATCCTCCCCCACTGTCCTTGCACACGCCCCTCCAGGTACCCTGGCCTCCAGGTTCCACACGCTTGCTCGGCATGCACCTGCCCCAGGACCTTTGCCACAGCTGCTCCCTATGCTTGGAATACCCTTATTTATAATATCTGTGGGGCTTATTTATCCCTTCACCTCTAAGTCCTTGTTCAAATCTATGTTCTCAATGAGAGCCTACTGCCTACCATGTTTGAAATTGCAGACCTCTCTACCATCCTGGTTTTTTAGATGTTTATTTATTTAAACATTTTTTTAATGTTTATTTATTTTTGAGAAAGAGGGGCATAGAGTGCGAGCAGGGGAGGGGTAGAAAGAGATGGAGATACAGAATCCGAAGCAGGCTCCAGGCTCTGAGTTGTCAGCTCAAACCCATGAACTGTGAGATCGTGACCTGGGCTGAAGTCCTACGCTTAACCGACTGAGCCACCCAGGTGCCACTCATGTTTATTTATTTTTGAGAGCAAGAATATGACAGAGAGTGAGAGCTGGCGAGCAGGGGAAGAGGGCGAGCGGGTGAGGGGCAGGAGAAGAGGGGAACAGAGGATCTGAAGTGGGATTTGTGCTGATAGCAGAGAGCCCAATGAGGGGCTCGAACTCTCAAACTGCAAGATCGTGACCTGAGCCAAAGTCGGACACCTAACCCACTGAGCCACCCAGGTACCTCTGGCCCCTGGACTTCTCCACCATCCTGACCCCTCTTCCCTTGATCTGTTTTTTCCTATACCCCTTATCACTTTCTAATATACAATATAGTTTACCTATTTAATAAATATATCGTTTATTATCTTATCTGTCTCTTTTCCTACTAAAATATAAACTCCACAGAGGCAGGGGTCTTTCTTTCTTTTTTTTAATTTTTTAATGTTTTATTTATTTCTGAGAGAGAGAAAGCGTGAGCAGGGGAGGGTCAGAGAGAGAGGGAGATACAGAATCTGAAGCAGGCTCCAGTCTCTGGGCTGGCTGTCAGCACAGAGCCCGACACGGGGCTCGAACCCACAAACCATGAGATCATGACCTGAGCCAAAGTTGGACACTTAACCAACTGAGCCACTCAGGCGCCCCGAGGCAGGGTTCTTTCTCTGTTTTGTTCACTGATGCATACCAAGGACCTGCAATAGTGCTCAATAATAATTGCTTAGTGAGTAAATATGAAGGATGGGGTTAACCAGGGGAGGGTTTGAAGAGGAAGACAGGGGGACACCATCTTAGGTGTGGGGTTAACGTGTGCCTTATCTCACTACAGGCCATGTGTGAGGATCTGGAAATCAAGGCGACGGGCACAAGTGCAAGGTTGGGCCAGCGCATCACCAAAAACGGGGGAGAATCAGTTGCCAAAGGGACCGGCCTGGGTTTCCCCCCTGCTGGAAGTCTTGGCTTTAGGTTGGGATTTCCTCAACTCCACGGCCAAAGTGTAATTTGGGTGAATAACACCAAAGGGATGTGCCAAGCAGGCATGGCCTGGTTGGAAATGAGGGCTAGACCAGGAATTCAGAGGCCTTCAAGGTGGCGAGAGGGTGGCAGACTGGGTGTGGGGGGCGGGCGAGGGAACCAAGTCATCTTGTCCGGATGATCTACGTCCACTGAGGGCAAAAGGAAAGGTCCTGGGCTGCACCTAAAGTAGAAGGAAGTGGAGCGAGGCATCAAGAAAGACTTGCCGACCGTGTGACAGGTGGGAGAGGGAAGGTGTGGAGCCTTGTGCGCTGGGAACCCTGAGCGGGCCGGGCTGATGCCGAGGACCCTCTGGGCCATCGAGGCCACGGGATGGCAGTGGGGAAGGCCAGAGCCTTGAGCAGCGCCCTGCCTCTGCCTGTCCCCAGCCTGCCCTGACACTTGCAAGGCTTCTGAGCTCCTAGGGAGTGCAGCCAGCTCCCTGGCGTGCGAGGAGAGACTGACAGTATCTGGTACCCCGGGCGCCACCAGTCGACATGCTCAGCTCTGTGGTAACTTCAGAAACTGAAGAAAATATCTTCAGAGACCCATACGAGAGAGTGGGTGGTGTGGTGATAAAGGGAGAGACGACCCAGGTGGTCTGGGAGTACCGAGGATGGGAGGGAGACTTAGTTGTCACCGTATCACTTTTGGTGCCTTTTGAGTTTTCAACCCTGTGCATGTATTTCCTATTCAAAAAACATAAAATAATTACAATCGGACAAAAGAGCCACAGTAATGACGAAGCATAGATCCAGAAAAGTGGGAGCCTAATGCCTGCGACTGCTACCCTGAGGACCCTGACCCGGCCCTCCTGGCCCCTGTGCACCCTCCTCCTCATCGGGGATCTCCATTCTCTAGAGGTCCAGAGAGGGGTGTGCCTCGTCCGATGTCACACAGCATTTAGACGCTAGCAAGGGGCTGCAGCCAGGTGTTCAGAATCTGGAAAGTTGGCAGGGTCAGCTTTCTCTCCTGGTCTTCAATGGTCAGTTCTCCCCCATGACCTGTCCATGTTGTTTGCAGGGCTGTGTATATGCTACAAATCACCCTTCAAAGAGACATCCTTATTTTTTTTTTTTTTTAAATTTCTGGGAGAGAGAGAGACAGCGTGAGCAGGGGAGGGTCAGAGAGAGAGGGAGCCACAGACTGAAACAGGCTCCAGGCTCCGAGCCGGCAGTCAGCACAGAGCCCGACGCGGGGCTCGAACCCACGAACCGCGAGATCATGACCCAAGCGAAAGTCAGATGCCCAACCGACTAAGCCACCCAGGCACCCCTTTACGTGTTTTTTTTTTTTTAAGCTTATTGATCTCTGAGAGAGAAAGAGACAGACAGAACACAAGTGGGGGAGGGGCAGAGAGAGAGGGAGACACAGAATCCAAAGCAGGCTCCAGGCTCTGAGGTGTCAGCACAGAGCATGACCCAGGGCTCGAACTCACAAACTGCAAGATCATGACCTGAGCCGAAGTCAAATGCTTAACCAACTGAGCCATCCAGATGCCCCGCAAAGAGGCATCTTAAAAGGTGCATGGTCTTTATGGTCTTAAATGCCATCTTTCTCAGAGGGTCGCGTCTTTATGGAGCTCTCCTGTTTCCTGCTCCCCTCCATGTGTATCTAATTGTTTATTCCCTCCCTTCCTGCCTCCCTCCTCTCCACCTCTCTCGACCACCAAAGTGGCTCTCCACTGCCATCTGGCCCTGCGCCTGACAAGACATGTGACCTTGAGCAAGTCATTTAACCTTTCTGTGCCTCTATTCCTTCATCTATAATCATGGATCGTGACCTTCGTCCCACGGCGCTTCGTTTCATCCATTTGTACAACAAGCATGTATTTTGTGCCAGGTGCTGAACCCAGCCCTGAGGATCACACGAGGCAATGTGTGTGGAATTAGTACAGACACACAGGGAGTCATTGCCAAGGCCTCCTTCCTTGGATGTTTTGCTGGGCTGGACCCTCTACCTCCTCATCTACAGCCCTTGGAAGACTTTCTTCAGTCTATTCCCAATCTCCCTGCTTCTAACACCGCTCCTGACATCCTTCTCTGGAGAAAGTGTCAGGGGCTTCAGAAATAGCCTCTTTCCCAGGCATTTCCACTGGACTAGATCACTTTGCCTGAAGGAAGGAAAACTGCTGAAATTCGCCTGTCTGGAACAGGGGTCTTTAGTCTAGAACTTGAGGAGTGTCCACCTCTCTTGACGTCGCAGGGCCCCATCCCTGCTCATGTCCTGGTCTGCTCATTTCCCTCCCTTCCGGAGCCTCACCCCACCTTGGGGACTGGCACAGAGGCTGAGACTCGGGAACTGGAGACCCTCACATATGCCTCCCTCTAAATCTAACCTGAGCTGTGGATGAAAGCTGGTCCCTTCTTTAAAACAACCACCACAACCTCAGAGCATAATAGCTTGTTTCAGATAGAGGAAAGAAGTTTCCAGAGCTCTTGGAGGGAGGCTGTCCCCACTCCCAGCCTGGCCATTGAAGATCAGTCGAGAATGACGGGGAGGGAGGGATGTTTGTAGAAAAGATGCGCCGAGGGGCGCTTGGGTGGCTTAGCTGGTTAAGCTTCCGACTTCAGCTCAGGTCATGATCTTGTGGTTCGTGGGTTCTAGCCCCACATCGGGCTCTGTGCTGACAGCTCAGAGCCTGGAACCTGCTTGGGATTCTGTGTTTCCCTCTCTCTGCCCCTGCCCTCCTCATGCTCTGTCTCTCTCTATCTCAAAAATAAATAAACATTTAAAAATTGAAAAGAAAAGATGCAGAGCTTCGACCTTGGTCATGACAGAATCCCAAGTCAAGTCAAAGCGATGACGAGGGACAGTGGGGAAGAGGGAGACACAACCTGTTTGTTGGGGAACAGGCTTAAGGCTGAGTGAAACCACTCAGCTCTCCCGGAGGCAGGAGGAAGGAGATGATCTAAGGTTGCAAAGGATTCGGGGATCCCATAACGTTGCAGGGACTGTGGAGAAACCAGGGACAGGTCAGCTCCTCTGTGTCTAGAACACAACCCCCAGGACAGGGACAAGGTTCTCTCGAAACTACACGAAGCCTCATGCTGGGCACTGGAAAATCTGACTGAAGAGAACAAGTCGTTCCCCGGAAGACGGTGCCAGCCCCGTGCTCGGGAAAGGACAGCGGCTTTTAGAGTCCCGGCAAAAAATGATTCCAGGCTGTGGAACCCGGAAGTACTCCTTCATGTACAAGGTCAGTTCTGCCTA